CAGTATCATTAGAACTATTATGATAATAATTCAAGTATTGTATCTCCTCTTCTAACCTGGAATTAGTACAGTAGGCCGATTTTCAAACGTCTGGGCATCATTAAAATCAAACAGGCTAGAGAAAGTTTGAGAATGCTGCACTTACAATTTCTAAAATTCTGCTTCCAGGGTCAATGGCCCAAAATTGCATCGGGTAGTCTCTTCAATTCTTTTTCAGTCAGACCGATTTATTTTCCCAAGTTCTCAAGTTCTTTCAGCGGTGATTTAACTTCCAATTTCGTGAAGTGAAACACCAAGTGACATCTTAAGCTGCTATAAATGTCTATAAAATGCTGTTTCAAAGAGTTCCTTGTTTCCTCTGGCAATTCTTGGCACATCCCTAAAAGTTCAGTTACTTGTTCACACATAGCCGGAACATCTTTCTTTAGACGGACTACAGCATTATCATACCCCTCAAAAATGCCCTCGAAAATTTGCAAAAGTTGCTCGTTGTCGGCAACTTCACCTGCCATGTTAGTGCGAATGCGGGAGAAATAACGAAGAATAAAGTCCTTGCGACAGTCCCTGCGTCAAATGCGTCTCTACCCGGAAATATAAGGAAAGCGGAAATCTCTGAAGAACGTGCGCAGAAGCATACATGTCATGTGACCACATTTAGTTTGGATATATCAACAAAGTTGAAATGGTAAATTGGCCGCCGTAACGATTATAAAAGCTGACGTTTCAAGCGTTAGCTCTTCGTCGAAACGTCGAAACTTCAACTTTTATAATCGTTACGGTGGCCGATTTACCATTTCAACTTGGTTGATATATCCAAATTATTTCGTTACCCCCACCGACGCAGCCCCAAACAGTTTCTTTCGAAACTATCAGCCTTTGACCATATTTAGTGCTTCGTGAAGGAATTTGTCGAGAGGAAGGTTACGGGAAAAGAAGCTCTTGAAGTTTATATTCATATCTTTTACATCTAACCATCTAAGAGATCTCCGTCACTGAGAGATATGATCAAACTTCCTTAAACCTAATACAACTCTGGCAGCGAAATTTTGTACCAACTGCAGTTTGTGTAGGTTGCGTTTAGATGTGTTCCCCCACACTGAGGAACAATAAAACAGTTTACTAAAAACAAAGCTATTTATAAGTAATAAAAGTGTTTTCCTGTCTAAGAGGTGTTTAATTCTACTTATCTGTACTAACTGGTTCATACAACTAGAGACTGTTTTATTGACATGTACTTCATAGGTAAGATATTGATCAACATATAATCCTAGATCCTTAGCAAACGAAACTGGTGAGATAGTTTTGCCTAGTAGAGATAAGGAGATATAAGATAGCCTCTTAAGAAGCTGTGCTGAGCCAACAACCACTAATTTTGTCTTCTCAGGGTTTATAAGTAGAGAACTCTCTGAGCACCATCTATTGATGTTCCTAAGATCTTGATTTACGGCTGCCATAGCACTTGATGAGTCTGGTACGGGAAATTTAAAGTGCAATTGACTATCGTCAACATACTCAGCGGATTTAAGTCAAAGATTATGATGGTCTTGGCCCTCACATCGACTTCCCTGTATTTGTCTTTCAGTATTTGAAAGTTTGGCTTTGTACTTGCTTGGAGAATATCAATTACTTGGGAGATGACAAAACGCAGAGCCCTACTCTATGTAGTACCCTATGGAGTGCCTCGATGGAGTATCACTGAAAATCATGTATTGGTCACATAAAATACTTTATAAACATGGTAAATCGTTTAGATGTACGTATCTTAATATATTTTGAGCTTGCCAGCTCTCCGATTCATTGCCAGAAATTTGGGACACGATGGCGGCCGCGCGTGCGCATCATATACAGTAATGGCACTGAAAGTACTTAAGAACATGTATGGGGAAAAAGACCTTTTTGAAAAAATATTACTTACTATGCGGTAGATCCCTTGTGCACAGTTCGAAACATATTTAAAATGGACTAGCCGAGTTATTGACAAAGAAAAGAAGTACCAAATTCAACTCTAACCTTCTTCCTAAGGCATGTAATCCTGTGGTCAATTTCTACTCCTTTTCCCCATACATCTTCTTAAAATTCCCTCGGAGGTCATCTTGATATTCCACAAATACAGGGAGATCCCGGAGGAGAATGCATGGTGCACAGTTCGAAATGAGTTGTACGAAGCTTCCTTTCGCCCTATCTTTCGTAGTAGATTGATTCATCTACGCCAAAGTTCTTCCAAGAGCAATTGAATTTTATGAATTTTAGAAGCATCGAAGGAGCCGTGCCACCATTTTTAAAGTCCCCTTTGTTTACATGTTCATCGAAAAACGCTGCAAAAGTTGAGAGGAAAGTGATTTTCGTCGCCATGTTTTTTGTTTTCAAAATCCCCTAGTGTTTCTTGGGATAGCTAAGTCTCAGGCTACTCTCGTACAGATGCTTTATTCCCGAATTCATTCGGCAAAAGTTTCTTCACAACTTCCGGTTAAAAGTAGGGTTTAAAATGGCTGATTTGCTCAGCGAATACAAAAGGAAAGACATTGAATGGCAGTTAAAGCTAAGTTCTGAGTTTCCTTTAGAGTATGTGCGACGAGAAGCAGCCTCACAGTACGATTTTTTGTGCTGTGTGGAGATTCCTTTGCCCCTCTTACGAAAGTGGAGCGAGCTTCTTGAAATCACTTCCGGTACAGAAATCAATTACATAGACCTACTTAATGCGACCGTCGTGGATGGATGGTTTGCTTTGAAGCGTGAAAATGAACGAATGAACGAGCTGCTTCGAAAAAAATCAAGCTCAACGAAGATTTCTTACAAGAAAACCTCGGGAAGAAAGAGAAAGGAATTGGACAGCAAAGCATATAGCCTCTGTGTTAGAAGGGGAGAGCTTGAGTCAATTGAATCATTGAAGTCTGAAGTTTTGCACAGCTACAAAGAGATCGAAGAATGGCGAGAAGCATACAGTGACTTAGAAAATGAGAAAAGGAAATTGTATGAAGAAATGAAGAAAGAAATTAACAAACTAGAAGAAGAGATAACAAACCTTACAGATGTCAACAAAGAGTTAGTTGATTACATTGGGGCCTTAGAACAAGAAGAATCCTTAAAATGCCAAGGAAAGAAGGTCACTGAAGTGGGCACAAAACAAAGAGGGAGAAAGCTTCGCCATTTAAAGAATAAAGTTCAGTGTGCTTTGTGGTTTTGTAAAAGCTTTGGGCTTGAATTAACTCAAGTAAAATTGCAAGATGAAAAAGGAGGAGCACACAGTTTGGACTGGGAACCCACCCCTTCACATGGAGCTTATGAAAATCTTCAGAAAGAGGAAAAGAAAAAAATTGAACAAGTCTTGTTTTTATTGGACAAATTCTGTGTGGGTGATGAAGTGTATCATGAGTTCACAATGATTACAGAAGACCTACCCAAATCCTATTTAGTAAAACAGTTGCGAGGTAACCTAAACAAAACATACCATATAGAACAAACACAGGGGAAGTATCCCGGAGCAAAAATAAATTTCACTGCTACACTTGAGGAACACATCAGAGAACTTCTTAACAACAAACCAGAGCTAAAAGATGATTGTATTCAAATCAAACTCAGTGGCGATGGTGCAAGAATGTCACGAACAACAAATTTTATGATGTTCTCATTTGCTCTTCTTCAAGGTAAAGACAGCGTCATGTCTTCAAAAAGCAACAGAACAGTTGCGATAATCAATGGTCCAGAAAAGTATGAAACAATGAAGACCTCACTCAAACACTTTTTCAAAGAAGTCAATGATCTTATAGAGAAAGGTCAAATAACAGTTGATGGCAAGGATATCAGTATAAAATTTTTCTTGGGTGGAGATATGAAATTTTTACTGATGGCAATGGGTATGAACTCAGCAACTGCTGACTACGCTTGTCTTTGGTGCAAAATACATAAAGATAATAGATGGGATACAACTAAACTTTCAAACTATTACAACCAAGAACCCCTACAGCGAACACTAGAGGAAATTAAGGCCCTCTGTAAATGCAAGGAGAACAATTATGGGTGCATTAACGAGCCTCTCCTGAACATTTCTCTGACGAATGTAATTGCAGATGAGCTCCATTTGCTATTACGAATTACTGACAAACTTTTACAAAATGTAATTGATGAAGTTCTTCAAAGGGATGCAGTTGAGGATTTTAACAAAAAAAGGGGAACACCCAAAGGAGTACATCTCACAAAGCTGGTCAACTGTATCAATACTCTTGGGATTTCCTTTTCTGTTTGGAATAAAAAAAATGCAAATGGCTCAGAGAGTCAAGTAAAAGAATTTACAAGTTTGCTTGGCTCTCAGAAAAAGAAATTGCTTAATGTACTGCCTTCTGAAATGAATCAATTCCTCTATCCAGAAACATGTGAAACAGTTCAACAAATATGGAAAGACTTTGAAGAATTATATAACATTATTACCGATTTAAACATAAGCAGTAATGACTCATTAGCAATTTTCACTAAAGCAAAGTCATGGATAAACCTTTTTTGTTCACTTCGAGGAAAGAGATCAGGGTATGAGAGACCCCGAGTGACACCATACATGCACATCATACCCTATCATATTCCATTTTTTATTGAAAAGCATGGAGGCTTCAAGAAATTTTCCGGGCAAGGTGTCGAGAAGAATAATGACGATGCCAAAAGGATACTATTTCAAAAGTCAAACAAATGGGAAGCTGCAAAGGACATTTTAAATACTGAGAGCAGACAATGGGAGCTACGACATCATGAAAGGGAGAAGGCAACTTACAAAAAACGAAATGTTGAATACTGGGAAGCTGGCATCAGCCAAAAGAGGAAAGAACAGCGGCTAATGTCAGCTCCCAGTAGCAGCCTGGATGAGGAAATGTGTGAAGAAAGCCCTACTGAAGACTACAACAAAATGACCCTTCCGCAGCTAAGGAAACTCATCAAAGAAAGAGGCTTGAAAGTGAAAAACCTTAGTAAATTAAAAAAGAAAGAACTTCATACAATTATTGAAAAATCCTAACTTAACTTTAGAGAAAGGTTTAATCGTATAAAAGGCCCACAACTGAAACAGCTACTAATTAATTACATGATGAAGGGACCTTAACAAATTTGATTGATAGTTTCTCTATATATGCTCTTGGCATCTCCACAATTTTGTCACCAACTTTTTCATAAGATTTGGGTGACAATGTCAGGTATTTCCGTACTTTAACAGGAAATCTAACCATAATGCCATCTCCGTGACTATCAAAAATGCAACTCCAGTTAATTGGGAGTTTACATTTGTTAAAGTCAGTCTCTTCTAAGAGAGTCCAGTTTTTCTCTGCTGCTGTTCTTCCTTTTCCACAAAACAAATACTTGAAAACATCATGTCGAAACTCTAAAGAGACTTTCTGCTCAGGACCCTTGTGTTTAAGTGCTTCCAGTAGAGCAAATCTCATTCTGTCGATGCAGCTCTGTACAATGTCTCCTTCAGGTCTTGGAGAATCAAAGTTCCTGGAAAAAGAAATAAGCATTAATACATTTAAACCAAACATTTGGAGCATGCAAGCGTAAATTACAGACTTACATTAACATGCATGAATCCAGTATTATATGAAAGCAAATGACAGAAGGTTCAAGAATGTTTGATAATGCAATATGTACTACATGTACTTCTTAGGTACAGTTATGTAACAAAGTTCATTAATAAAATCCATATTAAATTTTCATGAATTACCTCAACAGAAGGGGGGAAAGGTTTTCTTCTGGTTCCCAAGTATTTTCAAAGGTACTGTAGCCTTTCCATTTTACGAGGAATTTTTTTCCCTGACAAAAAGATATCTAATTAGTTTTATGAACTTAAACTTATTTCAATTGATAAGCAGAATGCCTTACCTCCGAGTCTTCCCGATTTGCTATCAAGCGCTCAGCTTCATATGTCCCGAGATTTTTTCCACGGCACCTCTTTTTCCTTTTTCTCTCAGGAAATAATATATCGGAGGAACTTAAATTATGGAGGATATAGTAGGAAACACGTTCTCGCTCAGATCGGGTAGCAATGGCCGCCATCTTGTTTTTCAGTGAAATGCGATACACCGCTGACTCAAACCCAGGGGCTCAAAATGTCCCCGATTTCTGGTGATGGTCACAGCTCGGTACAGTCCAGTTTTTGGGGAGCAAGGGGCTCTCAGACTTACTGCTTCCTCCATGTTGATTTTACCGCTGTGTAATGAGTCCTTTGACTGGAAGATAAAAAAAACTCCATATCATGAACAAAACCCACTGTTTCGAGTTCTGCGCGAGGTAAAATATTTAAGCTTACTGCATTTTCGAAATCAACAGCCCCAGTCGGATGTATTTGCTGACCCATCGGTGTTTTTTTCTTTGTTTGTTTCTTTCGTTATAGTTATCTCAATTTTATTACGCTACAAATAGATGGGTGAAGAGAAGGTCAGTTAAACACATGGATTACTTTTTTTAAGTCCTACATGTTATCCTCATCGCTTCACACAGTTAGGAAACCCATGAGGCCTTTTGTTAATAGATCGAACGCTACACCTCTTACAGACGCCATACTTAGTCAGGTATTTTAAAAGACGTAAACCCGCTGCCGAATGAAGGATGTCCGTACTTTTGGGCTCTTGAAGATCGTAAATATAGATGGTAATCGGCCTATTAAAGAATACTTTCATGGATTACATTTAAGACTTCCTTTTGAAGTAGCCAGCAGTTTAATGTTGAATGCAAGATGGCGATCAATTCGTGGACGGTATCGAACTATGACAATCGGAGAGCTGGCAAGCTCAAAAGACGTTCAGATATGTACATCTAAACGATTCACCCTGTTTATTAAGTATTTTATTCGACCAAAACATGACTTTCTAGGAGTACTCCATTTAGGTACTCAATAGGGTACTCCATGGAGTAGGGGTCCGCGTTTTGTCATCTCCCCAGTTACTTTGTGGTTTGTTTCAGCGAGCAGTGTGGCTCACCCATCACTGCCATTGCTGACTTCTTCTAACATAAGTCTAGTTATAAACTCATAAAACTCGTGTATTTGTTTCTAAATTATAACAATAATAATATGTACTTGTCGATTAAAACATTAACTAAGTCAGAATGATCAATGCAGTGTATATGCTATTACAATTGTTAATCTGCTTAAACTGAACATCATCATAATTATAAAACACAATATAAAAGATCCTTAAATAACTTGTTTGAGTATTAAGATCATGGCATTGAATGATACATTTAGGGTAAGGCCACACTTCCATTAGCACAATCCCGCTGACTAGAACACTTTAAAATAACCCCTAGCAGTTTTGGAAACCTTTGCCTTGGAAACCCACAGGTGCCCCAAAAATCTTAAGACCCTAAACCCACATTTGTATCATCAGACTTAACATCCTAAATTCTGAACAGCTTGCCTACTTCTTAATGATTGTTCCACTCCTCTCCATCCAAATGGAAAGAATGATGATGATGATGATGATGATGGAAACAACTTGAGATTTTATTGATGTAAAAAACTGCATACCTTAACTCACTAGACAAGGGGTTGTTCTGTATGCCTTTTCCTCGATTTCACCCAGTTTAGGAAATACCTCCCAGATAAAAGAATACTGAAATTTTGATCCACTGATTTATCCAATGAAAGTTTGACTAATAAACTTGCAACCCTTATTGATCCTATGTCTAAATCTATGTTACCTAGGAAGCTATATGTTGAAACCAAAGCTGCTTGTGTGATAAGTATCTCTACTCTTACAAATTTGAGCAACCAAAGCAACTTTTCTTTAAGCTCCACTCTTGACTTTACGTCAAATATATCCAATTCAGGTTGTGATTGCTGACTTTTAAAGCCTTACATACACATGACCAACTCCCAAGTTAAAATAAACATTAGAAGATGAAAGATAAGTACCCGAAAATGTTCACATCAGGGCGTCATGTTAAGCAAAGAGCAAAATGTCCACTTTCAATAACGGGATTTCAATTTTCTTAGTTAATTGTCTCGTATTTTGACCTTTTAGTATTTAAAAGACATCCAACACCATTATCTGAGAATCGTGTCGATATACAATGAAGCAAGCACCAAAGACAAAAGTAACAAAGAACCATTTAAGTTTCCTTCATAACAAACTGAAAAAAACTGTATTACATACTTGTAAAAGTTGGCTCTTGAAAATTTTTGAGAATGTAAACAAATCAAAGTTTGGTGCCTAAGGAGCACCCCTTGTTTGCTTTACTCTCTGTCTGCAATTTTTCCTTGTTCTACAATATACCAAAACTGTTACATGCTGAGGGCACTCTGTTTCCCAACTATGGTGAAATGCTGCAATAGTACTTCAAACTGTAGATTGTATTTTTTTTCATTTAGTTTTAGACACAGGCTTACCACCTAGTCAGTAACTATCCAGTGTCTGTCCCTACATAACAGAAGAATTGACATCCATCCGAACATCAATCCATGCCCGACAGTTTGAAATTCAGTGACTTGCAAGAAAAAAATTCAAATACCATGTTTACTGTGGTTCTCCTCTGAGCTGATTGATGGCGTCAGCAAGCATTCTGTTACACATAGCAGCATATGGATTCATCTGTACAACCATGGATCTTGCAAATGCATTGCTGAGATTTGCAGCCTTTGTAAAGTCTTCAAGAGCTTTGTCCTCGTTACAATTTAGTCTATGAATTAATGCTCGCTGGGTGTATGCCTGAGAAGCAGCAACACCTCTGTCTGTGCTCAGTTGGATAGCTTTGTCTAAATCTTCCAGAGCACTGGGTATATCTCCTAAAGTCATAAATCAGTTGTAGAATAGGATTCAGTTTTGTTTCAAAGAAGAGATCAAAACCCACCCAGTACTCTCTCCATCTTCCACAGACAAGATCTAACATAAATGTATCCCATGCAGGGGTATAGGTTATGGGATATTGAGCTTAAGGCCGTCATAGATGTGCCAACACAATTTTTTAGTAAAATTTGGAACAGCAAGCATAAGTTTATTTATTAAGTCTTTATTTAAATTTAGCAGTGCTAACATCATCAGCAGAATTTAGGTTTCTTTGAAGAGAACATTATCATGCAGAGTCAAGACTTGATTGGTTGCTAAGATCTATTCCTTCTAAGTTTCGTCCCAAGTTCAATCTATTTGCAATTTTGCAATGCCTTAGGGTAAGAAGGTTACCACAATACTGAGTTCTTTATCTATAGGACTGTGCACATAGGAAATAAAGATGCCTCAGTCTCGGTTCCTGCTTTCACAGGTAACTGAATGATGTTCATGCTAAGATGATACTAGCATAAACCATACATCTTGACGTATTAAGTCAACCCTCTAATTCTAGTCTGGAATTAAGAGCAGTAGTTAATTGTGTTTTATGGGAGCAAGCACGAAACACAATATGAACAAGATGTCACACTTTTTTGACAAAAACTATTCATTTTTTTTTCCACTGGTTTTGTGTTTCTTTTTAAAAAGCACACTTAAAAGAATAACCGCGTAAATTTTAAAACTAGCAAAATTTTAAACATAATTTGGAAAAGATTCAAGCAATACTAGTAGCGTAATATCCTTCTTTAACTAGCATAATTTATGAGGGCCTACCTTGCCTTGCCTGATCATGATCAACCTCCTCTGTTATATAACATTTTTTTAAGTCAATAACATACCTGTACGAATGTTACACTTCAGGTGTGTAAAAACATTGAAATCCGAAAAAAGGAACAATGGCATAAAACTGTTCCAGTGCTAGATACTCCATTTGTTAGTCCTCACTGCACTAATACAAGCCTACTTATACACAAGTTAGAGCAGCCGTATCCGCCAATTCACATGGGGTGAATGGAAATTCTTCCTTGTGAGCTCTCCCCTCCCCCTCAACCCCTTTAAAAATCCTAGGTACCCCCTTGTATTTCATGTTAACAAATAGAACATTAGGATAAAAGTTGAAAGGTATGAAAAGTATCCTGTTGCCATCTCAGATTAAAAGTGACTTCAAACAAAGACTGCTAGAGTTTTCCATACAAATAACCAAGTCTTATTCCACTTCTTATAGAGTGCCAAAGGAGAAGGGCAGGGTATCATTCCATGTCTGAGACTATTTATGACTAAACTCCATTCTTATTCTCAATTTTATCTTGATCTTGAATCCACGTCTGAGTGACCCAAATCTCAATGTCCCTGTGAAAAAATTGGGAACTGAGTTTTTAAGAGCCTTTTTTCCATAGCACATTCACCTGTTCGTCATTCCTTGTTGTTCCCCCTACAGCAAACTTATCTTATCTACCTGATAGCAACTTTTAGAAATAAAATCATTTCAATGGAGATGATACCCAAGAGACTTTGAACAAATGAAAACTTTAATTACCCTTTAACCTTCACAGCTGAGCTCTACTGTTGAAACACGAAGAACCTAGTGGCAAATTTCGCAAGATTGATTAAAACACTCCAATGCCCCATTCAGATCACCCTATTCTGCCTAATTAAAGACCTATCTAAAGATACAGAGAATAACGACGACTTCGTCTCTATTGCAGACGAAAACAACAACTTGATAAAGGATGGCCATTCAATCGCTGAACGCTTAAACCGCTTCTTCGTTGATGTATATAAACGTCTCATAAACGCGACATCTGTACTTCATTATGATGCTCTTCCTGGTCCACCAGACAAATCTAACAGTCAAATTGAGAATTTTATTCCGCAAATAACTCCTCGTGAGGTTAACGATTATCTTCTAAGTATACCTACTCAAAAAGCTACGGGAATCGATGGGCTTGGTGCCAGAGTTGTAAGGATTGCAGCTCCTGAAATATCATACTCCATAGCTAAAATTATAAATCACTGTATTGAAACTTGTACATTTCCCTCACAATGGAAACTAGCAAAGGTTAAACCTCTATTCAAGAATCAAGGAAACAAACATGATATTCAAAACTATGGTCCTATAAGTATTTTGCCTATTCTTTCTTAAGTCTTTGAAAGACACATCTTCAATGCTGTGAACACCTACTTAACAGAAAATTCACTTTTATACTGCTTCCAATCAGGGTTCCGTAAAAACCACTCCACGGATACTGCTTTGTTGTTTCTTCTGGACCATACATACATACATACATACATCCTTTATTT